GGAAGGTTTATCACAGCACCTATTTTCATAATCTTTTAGAAATGTCTTGGAAGAGGTGGTGACAAAGATTAGTTCATCACCTCCTTGGATTTACCACAAGTTTTGAATGCATATCAAACTCAAAGCAGACTGGCATTTTATTCTCAGAGCATTCGGAAGCTCAGGATAAGTCAAGAGGTTCAGTAAGAAGAGTGAAATTTCACACTGGGCTTTCACACATCCCTATCAAGTACCACAGAACAATAAAAGCATTTGATATTTGAGCTTTGCCTTGCTTATACCTGCCCAGTACAGATATGATCCTGGTAGATGTGATGTGGGCCAGTAGAGGTATTTATCCACACACCTGCCTCATTTATGTCTAAAGTCAGGGGCCAGGCCTCTATGAAAACAGAACATGAGTAAAGGGAGATAAGGCCTCCCCTGCTTTCCTGATTCACACCTGGCCTGATATCCCTCCCCTTCCCCTTCCTCCTCCTCCTCTTGACACCTCTAGGCTTGGGGCAACTGGTAGGCATTAGTAAGAAAAACAGGATAGGTGAGCTATTTCTCTCACATGCATGGTTCTTTTCACCCAATAATTTCTGTCTAGCCTGCCTACAATGAATGGTGTATTGAGTCAAATATCATATCAGCTCCATTCTTTATCTTCTTTCCTACGCTGTGTACAGCCTGCCATTTGCTGACTTGATGAAAAATAATTTCATTACAAGGATGGTGCGATTTTTGCACTACTTGCCATTTGGGGGTTTCAGTTTCTGGGTGTAGTTGCACTATGACATGTATAATAAGTTATGAGTCATTCCTTGGGAGATGCCAAAATCATTAGCCACACTCCCATTGATTTGAGCTAATCTATAGCACTGGAAGGATATGGCTATCTAATGAGAAATCTACTGGACCCTTCATCCATACTGGAGCTGGCACAGCCTTACCCTTTAAGCCAAGTGGAGTAGAAATCAGGGTAGTGCCGGGTTCTGCATGCGCTGTTGGCATTAAATGAATATTTAACAACAACAATAATAAGAGCAGGATGTCTAGAAGCAAAGGTCTGTTACACCTCATGGGGCCTGCAGCTGTTCCTATGGGCAACAGCCAGAAGCCACAGCTGAGAGAGGGGGAACTGGCAGCCACTGTGCTTCTCTCCTTCATCTCTCACTCTTGCTCAATTCTGTCTGTCTTTTTCTTCCTCTCTTTTGTCTTCCTCCATCTGCCTGAATCCAGAGTTCAGAAAAGTCATTGGTTACTGTGGTAACATCTGCCCTCCCCTTGCCTTCCTCTAATAATACTGTAGCCTAGCCAATGGAGCAGGGAATATTTCCCCCTTCTGCACACAAAACACACACGCACACATTAAAGGGCTTTTGGCAAAGCTTAGAGCCCACCTGGCAGAGCCTTGGTTGAAAAATACCTCAGTGTGTCCCAACCATCTTATCTATGATAAGTCAGAGCAACTTCTTCCCATCAGCCTAGTGACATTCTGAGGGGAAACGAAGCACAAGAGCCATAAAGAAAGTAACAGGAGTATATTTACAGACATGTGGGGAGAGGGAGAGGGAGAGGAAGAGGGAGGGCGGGAGAGGAGAAAAAAAGAAGACAAATAATGTAAGTAATGAATGGTGAAACAGAAAGGAGAAAGCAAGAAGTAGGGAAACTGCTGGCGGAAGTGCCCCTGCTAGTCCTGCGGCCGTGCTGGGCCCTGATCCAGCCTCACTCCGGACCATTGTTTCCCTGCCTGGCCCCCCAAGTCCAAGTTCATCTGGGTGTGACATCATGTCTGGTTGCTCAGGGAAACCAGACGGGCCAGACGTGACATTGGTTATGGGCTGGGAAGGGGAGCAAATCTCATTCCTGCTCTGCTCTGCTCCTTCGTTCACCACCAGGGAGCAATGGAGGCTAGGAAGGAAAGACAGATCAAGCTGAGAGCTGTCTTATGTGGGACAGGAGGAATGGGGGGAAATCATGCTGGACTTGGAATGTTTCCTCCTCACGATATTCAGCTTTTCTTTGTTGCTTTAACCTTCATACCATCAACATTTTCCTTTCTGGTTGTGTGTTGTGGCACTGGCATGATTAAGATTGCCCTAAATAATGTAACAACCCAGTCTTTTTATTCATTGTGCAACAAAATACAATTATTTTTCAATCATTATAAAGTATTCTCTGCTACACAGAAACTACAGATATGTAAATCCGTCCTCCCTATCCCGCCTTTTTCTACTCCAGTAAGAATGGCTGGTATGCTCTGCAAACAGGAGGGTCAATGGCACTTAATGGCAACCAACCATAATATCGCTGGTGCTGAGCAACACACTCCTTCTCTCACCTGTGTAAGTTTGAAATGAAAAGAGGCCCCCCCCCCCCCCCCCCCCCATTGTGCTTTCTTTAAGCAACTTAATCTCATAGCATAGTTAGTGTAGCCTATTAAAAATCAGGGGAACAAATAGCACAGCTCTTCTTCATTCCTTGGAAGCAATTTTATGATTGGTAAACCCCCCCTCCTCCCCCTCTAGATGTTATTCTTCTCCCACATGTTGCTCAGGCTATATTGTTTCCCTGTACAAGTGAATACCATGTAGAGAAAACATAAAGTTAGGATTTCTAGTTGCAGTGATTATATGTGACAAAAACAATGCACCATAAACTCAGTTTGCATTTTAATCCACAAAAAACAAAATCCTCCTTTTGTTCTCTAAAGGATTGTATGGGTAATGGTGGAGCAAAGCTTCCTGGGAAGTCAGAAGTTGGTTTCAGGAATGGATTTCTGATCAAACTCTAACCTGGGAAATCTGAAAGCTGGTAAGTGATCTTCCAGTGCTCAGCACAGATGTCACGCTGAGTGGAATGGTGTATTAGAGAAAGGTATACTCTAAATAGCTACACAATTCTAGACTTGGAATTGCCCACTCTTCATCCTCATTTTTGCCTCAGAGCAAGGTCCAAATTTATATCTCCATTCACCACTAGGGGGAACTTAGAAAGGAACTGATCTTGGATACAATAAGGATCTGACTCAAAGCCTCTGGGCTGCTATCAAGGAAGGGACATGGCAATCAGAACGGGCTTCATCTCATTACACTGGCCTATCCCATCAAGTCAGGCAGGGAAGGTATGTTGCACACTTTATCAGTTAAAGGAGCTGGTACGATCTAGGAAGAGAGCATTCTCTGCCATTGCTCCTGTCCTATGGGATATTCTGCCCCAGAGGTGAGGCAGACCCCACTCTCCTGGCCTTGCAAAAAGAGGTTAAAACAAGATTCTGTGGCCTTGCATGGGGAGCCCAAAGAAGCACACAGTTGGGGAGTCTGCTGGTGCCATAAGTTGCCTTTGCCAACTAATTTTTAACAGAGTTTAAATTACTCTTGCCTCCTTCAAAATTAATTTTTAATTCAAAAATTTTAATTCTAACAACTTAATTTTTGTATACTGTTTTGAAGTTTTGTTGTACATAGAAATAAACAAAACCCTAATGCTGTAATGACTGATTACATAGCTTTGGAAACAGCATCTTCCAGGCATACAGATATATTGCTTGAATGCTTAGGAAGCATTGGGATGTCATTATTAAATAAAGTTTAGCATAATGGAAATAAGTTGCATGGATGTCCGTTTCATTCTTTTCCTGAGATAAACTGCATTTTTTAATTTCTACTTAGTTTACTACTAACTTGTTAATTATTTGAACTTGAATATCTGTACTTAACTTTAACTACTACTACCAAATTTATATCACAAAAGTCATGAGTATTTCTTTAAACAAATAATAGTTAACATTAACTGTCATTAATGGTGATGATATTTATTCCAAACACCATGAGGAAAAGTGAGCAGCTGGAGAGATCACATTCTGCTCTTGCCCATGCACAACAAGCTAAACTATAGTTTTGTAATATATGTGTGGTCATACCAAATGATGGTATATTCTTCCCAAAATATATTGAGATTGGAAAAATTATGGATAACTATGGGTAGTAACTATGATTAGTACACATATTGCAACCTTTCCATACTCAGTTTGCATACAGAGAGTAAAATACGTATCATGATCAACATGATTTTTGCCATGTGAACATAGACTAAACATTCTGCATCAATTTGAAAGCAGCAGCTTCAAACTCTGTGTTCCTACAATAGCCACAGGAACATTGAACTTATTTATTTCTTGATTCTACAAGGGAAAAATTAACTTCAGGCCTGTGCAGTTTTTCCTAAATAGCAGAGAAGTGAAATTGTCTAGTGTTTTGTCAATTTCTCCTTCTATTTGGTAGGAAAGGAACAGCTGTAAAGCACTAAGTCACTGACCCTTAGCCTTTTTTGTGCGAAGTACCAAGTGGATATGAGGAGATTACTGCTGCCACAGAATCTGAAGAACTTGATGTAAATTTATTCTTGTCAGCATATCAAATTGGCATAAAGAAAGACAGTTGGTTTCTAAATTGCTTCTCAGGGTTGGAGCATGAAAGCAATAGCAGTGTGGAAGTCTCTAGTAGTCTTGAGCCATATTTCATTTCATTGCATGGTGAGAACATATGAACAGTAAATACATCGTATCTTTCAGAGACAGTGACCTGCTCAAAGGCACCCAATGAACATAGTTGAGCAGACTGATGGATCTTCCCCATTCCCCCAGTCTGTCACTGAAATATATTCCATCTTGGGAATTCCATCTTAGATTGAGACTCATAAGCCTCTCTGAAACTCAGTTTCTTGTCTGAAAAATGAAGGGCATAATTTCTGAAACATGACTGTCTTTCAATAATCCCCCAAAGAGTTCGGCTGTAAAGTCTGGACTTTATGGCACACCCCATGAGTAAATATTTAGATCCCTAATGTTCAGTCCTAATTTTTATTCTGCAACTGAACTCTCTCTTATTCATAGATAGAAAAATTCTGAGGTAATCCACATCCATCCCTTCAACAGAGCCATTCCCCTCCCCTTCCCACATAAGGCATTTGGGCGACTGTAGCACATACACCCCTATGAAGCTGGTTCCCCCTACCTGAGATTGCTGGGGGATGTTTAGAAAGTTGCCGTCCCGGGGTCCGATGCCGACAAACCGGTTGGCAGAGGAGGAGGAGCCTGGCGCTGAGAATGCTAGAGGGGAAAGAGATGTGAGGCCGTTAGGGCCACTAGGTGAGGCTGATGGCATTGATGGAAAAGGGTGGGCATGCAGGCCCGTCAGACTCAAGATAGCAAAACCCAAAGGAAAAAAAAATGGCCACCACCTTTTCCTCCCCAGAACACCCTCTTGTCAGTGAACACAAAAGAATGGAACAGCCAGCTCTTAGCTGTCAGTGGGGCTTCCTTTGAATTATGGTAAATAATTCTGTTTTTTTGTTTGAGATACTGGAATTTAAGGATATTGATAGAAAAAGCCAGCTTTACTACAGGAGTAATCTCAACAGCTTCATGGAGACTTCCATAAAATCATATATAGCATTCTCTGTGCCTTTATTTGGGGGGGGGGGATAGTATTTATTTTATTATACAGGTTTTACTGAGTGAGATGAATACTGGGGAGAATCTGGCTTTTGTTCCATAAACCTCATTTCTCTTGGGCATATTATTTCTTTCAGGGTATAGGTCCAAAGCCTTCATTTTGTGGCCTAGTTTTCTCTGCATCCCTGGAGGTGGCTGGGGGCTTCTTTGTTATAACTACTATAAGTAGACTCAGGCAAACCTCCTATCCATTTGTAGGAAAGATGGCATTCCAGAACACGACCATGTATGGGCCTGCTAGGAGATGTAGGTCTGCACGCCTCTCCTGGGCACAGCACTGTGTGCCAGAAATAACTAAGCTCAACTCTTTAGTATTTGGTTGGTGGCAGAAGAGGGCAGAGCTCTAGATAAAGCTACATAAGGAGAAGGGAATGGACATGGGCGATTCCCTCTCCCCCAAGCCTATCTCCAATTTGGAAACCTGTCTGGGGCTAAGAAATATTGTAAATGTTATCTAGAGGTACTACAAACCTCATGGTAATATATACACATACACACTAGCAGGAGTCCACGAAAACAGCCAAGTATGGCATTTCACTTTTACCCTCAGTCTTTGATCACAATATTGATCAACACATAAAACTGATTTCCCAACTACCCAACCTGATAGGCCATTGATGGGAAGGCAGAAGCTCTTGGCGAGTTTAAGAGCTGGCTTATGGAGATGACTTCAGGATTTGGCTATAAGAATCAAATGGTTTTTGCTAACCTGTAAGTCAAGTTACATCACATACTCTCTGGTTCTCAATGGAATACTAGACTAGACTAGATTTCTGTGTGTTGTTCTCCAGCTACCAAAAGGGATGAAGAGATGAGCTACACAACAAGTAGGCCCACATGAGGGATCTGTTACTGGGCTGTTTCTGGGCTGTTACTGGGTTATACTACTGGACAGGGTTTGAATTTTACTGGTCTCTGTTAAAAAAATGAACAAAATGGGCTTATGTAAGAGAGATATTTTAGACCTTTTCCAAAATATAAGGAGTGTTTTTTTCAAGAAGGGAGAGCATTCAAATATTTAATAAATTTGAGACAAACGATTATTCTTATTTATCTTCATCACTAAAACCAACACCTTACTGGCAATCTGATATGGCTCAGAGCAGCATTAATACTTTATACCGGTCCCTGCTGATCATGCATATCAGTTCTTAATGAGAGCTGGGGTTGAGTTTCAACCTTAGAAGCAGCTGCAACACTATTTCCTTCTGAAACCTTTGTTAGCCACCTTGTGAGAGTAGGAAGATGGCGATCAGTACATAACATAGCTCTAGAATTCTCCTTTATGTCTACAGCTTGTCACCATCCATTTCTTATTACCACCCCCTCCCATAAATTATCATAAATTTAATGAAGAGTATGAACAATGTGAGAGTGAGTAATGCCATGAGCACAGATGTAGAAAAGAAAAAGAAAGGAGGGAAGGAGAAAAAGCAAAAAAGAAAATGATACTGTAGCCAATCCTTATCTCCAAAGGGACTCTTTGAAGCCAAGAAAGATGGTAATAATTCCTTTATTGGATTTAGAAGTTTTAACTTCCACCCCATCTTTAATCAAGTAGGATTCCCATTTCTAGGATGGAGATAGGCTTCATATTGAATAATGCCACCACTCTTCAGGAGATACCTGCTCTTCTAAAAGAGGGAACAGACGTTCTAGATTTCTGATATACCCACTCCCACTCAAATGTGTGGGTTCTTTCTATTTATCATCAAAAATCAAGGCCATTTTCTGGAAGTTCAGTTTCCTAATGTCTCTTCCTTCTTCCTTCCTCCTTCCTTCCATCAGATTACCCTTTCCTGAGAAAGCACAGACCACAATTTGGGGTGATGAGAGTAAACTTGCTATGGATCTTAGTGGGAATTTATATTTGAAGCACCATAGTATCTATAAGCACAACCTTTCCTCGCATTACAAAATTCAAATTTCTCTCAATATTGCTTATTCTCAGAATAATCTATGGTTTATTTTTCTCCCTTGAAAAAAATCCCCAAATTTACCAAGAAGCCACCATGGCAACCAACAATATAATGAAAAAATAAAAAAATAAAAAAATAAACGTGTTGGAGTTGGGCAGCTACTGCATCTTTAAACGCTGGGGAATGGGATGGAAGGTGTAAAGGGATAATGGCAGCTAAGGAAAGGGGTCAGATGGGGTGTTTAAATCTTAAAAATAAGCACAAAGCATAAGACTTGATGATGACAACATGGTGCCCAAAGCCCACCTTCTGAATCTGCCAGTTGCTTAGAGCTTGCTTTTTTCCTTTCATTCCCATTTGATTCACCTTTTTTTCCTTTCTTCTTCTCATTTGTGCCTCTTTTCTCCTACATTTGTTACTGTGCACATTCTTTTCCTTGCCCATCTTTTGGTCTTGTTCCTCCTGCTCTCCTTATTATTTCTGCCTTACTTGACATCTAGTGAGGGCCCTAGGGTGGGAAATGGAGACTAAGTTCCATTTTGCTTTGTGGTTTGGGTTACACTTGGGTCCACTTACAGGGTGATGTTGGTGTCGGCGCTCCGCCCTCTGGGTTAGTGCTGGTGGATTTTGTATCAGGCATTGGAAGGGGCACTGGTCTGGCCACAGGTGGAGGTGGCGGCAGCAAAAATGACCCCGTGACTTTGCCCTGGCCGCTACCGTTAGGCTGCGAACAACATAAATACAGTGATGCGTGAACGAGACAAGGCAACGTTAAAGATGCAGTATCTGCTGGCGGCTCTTGGGGCAGAGAAGTGGAGGGACTTTAATTTGATTTAAAATACCCTTTTTGCCCCCTTCTTTCTTCTTAAAATCATATTTTAGTTTTATTTTTCCCCTTACCTCCCTCAAACATTTCCCACATCAAACATTTCCCACTCTCTTCCTTTCAGATGTGTCTGTCCTTTTGTCTTATTACAAGTCAGGCCTGAGTCATTATCAAGGGATTGCCATTGTTCCCACAGATAGGCAGGGCTGAACAATGACTACTTCATTGAGATAACAAACCAATGACTTCATGGAATTATTCATTATCTCTGAAAACTTATTAATGCAAAAGCAACCACTATCGTGAGATATGGACTGTATTCTTCTGGTTAGATTGGCTGCGTCCAAGACATGTCCTTCCTCCTAGTTTTGTGAGTCTGCAGGTTTCAATGCCTAATTGAATGGATCTATAAGAAGATATGTATGCGCTGTTCACATATAACCTAAGCTATATATTCATCGTTAATGACTGTATCCTTTTTTCTCAGCAAAATCCCCCCCATGGATCTCAAAAAAAAAAGTATGAATCTAGTTCTTAAAAATGAGCACAGATATTATTCTGTAACATTTTAAAATATTATTGCTATCACTACTACTATAAATATCAAAATTTGAAAACAAACAAATGGAAGGAATCAAGAGTAGTATACCAATTGTTATTGGGGAACTATACCACAAGAATTTAGAAAGAATTTGAATTGCTGAAATTTGAAACAATTTCTGACACCTCAATTACAAACAGCAGCACTGATGGAAACCTCAGAATTAGATACTGTCTTTACAATTCCCAAATTCTTGGGGAAAGCTTGTGTTTAAGACAAAGAAAATATTTCGCTGTGATACATAAATCAGTGAAATAATAACTTAAATTCAATTGTATGACAGAACTAATGAGTTTGGATTAGTAGAAATTAACTAATTTTGATTGTTCACAAGTCTCATGCTAGAAGCTTTGGGGCAATTATTTTCTTGTATTGGTTCCTCCCTGCCACGTGCAGTATATAAGAAGCAACAGTTTTTCTATTTGGATTCTGCAGCAAGCAAAATCCATGGAAAGGATATTACATTAATAATTAGGAATTCACAGATATGTGTAAGAAAGTGGGGCTTATTTTGTGATTTTAGAATTAGAACAGAATAGAGCTGGAAGGGACTTTGGAGGTCTTCTAGTCCAGCCCCTGCTCAAGTAGGAGAACCTATACAATCTCAGACAAGTTATTGTTCAGTCTCTTCTTAAAAACCTCCAGTGATGGAGTACCCATGATTTCAGAAGGCAAGCTGTTGGGGATTTTACCAGTTCCTGAACAGAGGTGATAGCTCCCTTTGCCAAGAAGCCACAATTAATGTGTTCCTATGATTTTTCTGCAATCAATCTACTTGCTCCCAGACTTCATGCAGTTTGTAAATCATTGCCTTCCCAGGCTTGGTCAAAGTTCTCTGAGGATTCAGAAGCAGAAATATCTAGATTTTGGATGGCATACGAATGCCATCAGGAACCAACATAAAATTCAATCATTATTTAAGAATGACAATAAAGTACCACAAGCCATTAATATCCAGTTCTACTAACAAGTCTATTGTTTGGTCTCTGGAATTACTTTATTCCTGGAGCAGATTTAAGCCAGGATAATTATCCTGAGTAATATGCTACGCTGGAGTAAATAACAAAGCATGGTAAGGAACCTCAATGAGTCTGTCGTTTTTAGCTTAGATGGGCCTGTCTAGGGCTGAAAGCTCTTCTCCTAAGACTTAATGCCAGCTAATCTGCTTCCATACTAGCTTTTTATCCTGCAATTGCCACTTTGGATTCATTTATTTCTTATGGGAAAATCATCAATATTATGGTCAGACTTCACTGAATTATTTTATGTGCTGTCCTCCTGAAGTTTTTTAAGAATTACTTTGTAATTTTTGGAGGGAGTAGTGCTATAAAATACTTTTGCACTATCATCAAACTTTCCACTTCAGACAGGAAATTCACTGCTGAGGCTTTTCAGGCTGAGTGATTTTTTAAAAAGCTTGCTTGTTTGAAATTTCAGTTTATGTCATTGTATCCAGTGAAACTGTAAACAAATTATGAATAAGAAATTTCAGATCTGTGTGTATGTAAAAGGACTGGTTTCCTTGGTTTTTTCTTCTTCTGGGTAGTGAAATAAACTATTTTACTATAACATAAAGGAAAGGAAAGTCAAGGATCCAGAAATTCATAATCTGGACAGGAAAAAAGCTAATTTAAAAAGGGCCAATTCATAAGTGTTCATTTAATCACACTGATCTGGAAACAATAGGCTAACAACTTCCATGAAAAGGAAACTTCTACAAGACATTTTGCAATAGGACTTACTGATGCATCAATATTTTGGAAAAATCCTGACCATGGATTACAATAAAACAAAAACAGCAGCAAACGGTAATTTTTCATAGGATTTGAACCACTCCTGACTTTCTTGCCCTCTAAAGGAACAGGTGAGAACTACTGTTCCCACAAAGCCACAGTTAACAGATTCCCCTGTTTCAACTGTGATCCATCAACTAACTCCCCTGGATTTTTGTAATTTAATTTTTATTAGTTTATTACAATAATTTGCACACAGCCTATTTGTCAGGCTCAAGGTGGCTTCCATATTAGATGGTTTGTACACCACTGGGACTAAATTGCTTTAAGAATAGAAGCTACTGTGGTCTAATACTTTCATCCCTGGGGGAAAGATGTTAAAGATAAATAATGGTTCTCTTTCAAGACTCTTGTCAGCTCACAGAGGTTGGTTACAAAGAGATTATTAAGGAGGTATGCTTGTTTATAACATCAGAACCTTGAATTATTATCTATCAGGTCATGGGGGCGGGGGGGGGTGTCTTTCAATAGGAGTCCTCAAACTGAGCCAAACATATTAAAAGCAATATTTAAGTACAATCCAATTTACTTAGGAATCAAAGGCGATGATAAAAACATTATCCGTGCCTCAAAATTTAATATTTAAGTTTATTGAATTCCCTCTTTCTTCCCAAAAATATAACTAAAGACCACACACTTCAAAACTCCAGGATTTTCTGAAAAAATATCAATTGCAGGTTTATAAGTTCTTTTCCAGTGTTGCAAAGCCTAACATCTTTGGATCCTGCCATTCATGTCATTTTCACAAATGTCACAAAGATAAACATTCTAGAATGTGCTCAGTGTAACCCTCTGGAAGCCTCTTTTGTTCAGGAGTTCTGAAGACTTTAAACCCTTCAGAAACTTATTTGGAAAAAAGCTGTAGACAGAATTGGGTAGAGAAATCAGCTGATAGGGAAAGTAAAACCTGATTGGGCTCTACCTGCCCATCCTGTAGAAGTCAGTTCCCACTTAAGGTAAAACAGAAGAGAAGGTTCTCTTTTGAATATGCTGCATCTTTCTCATCTATTCTTTTAAAAAGATATTCTGGCTGCCTTGAAGTTAGTTTTCTCTAGCCTGAATGTTGGGCCTTGGAATTCAGTCTAATATTTGAGGTAAAGGTAAGATGCCAAGAGCAAGCCAGTATCAGTCAGACAGTTCTTTCAAGGAAAGAAGGCCCATTCTGCCAGACTCATAGGACGAAATAATACTGTTTACTGTTCCTATGCCTTTAGCAGGCAGGCAGGCAGGCAGGCAAGCAGGCAGGCAGGCAGGCAGGCAGGCAAACAATCAGTGTTTGGGAGGGAGACAGAGAGGGAGAAGAGGCAGAAAAGGGCTGTAAGGCAGGGTTCTGGTGGATTGGCCGGCATCCCTGGGCTAAGGTGCGAGGCTCTTACCTGCCCAGAGCCCTGGCCTGAGCCATCCGAGCATACAAACTGCACAAATTCCTTCAGCGAGTCCTGGCCGTGGTGGTGGTGGTAGCGGATGGTCGGGTGTGTGAAGTAGGGGCTGGACTGTTGGATGATGGAGGTTGACGGGAAGTGCAGGGCCGACGCTGTGGCACGGGGGCTTCCTGGAGAGTGTAAGGACAGATGGATAGAAATAGAGAGAGAAGCACAGAAAGAGAAAGAGTGAGAGAGTGACAGAAAGAGATGTCAGTAACAACCCCCATGCCATGCTGCTTCCACAGCCCAATAGCTACCTATACCATCAAAGCCTTTGCTGAAAAATTATCCCATATTCTTATTTTCAAGGCTGTTTTAATTAAAGAATGTAACAATCCCAACAAGGAGTGCTAGTTTCTCTTTTTCAAAAGAGGTTAGCATTTGCAAAGATGTGCAAGCAGGTTTGAGCTGCATGCATTATACATCCGGAATTTGCAACAACCATATATGTATCATGCACATATACATGCAGTAAAAATGGGATACACATTTGCTTCAGAACATGTATTTTATATCTCTGAAATTTTTACTAAATTTTGTTGATGCCCCCATCCTCATTTATTATGTACTTTATTTCAGAGTGGTAACCTAATCAAAATGAAATACAAATACCTATATTTTCTTACATTTATATCTTATTACTATGCTCTCATCTTATTTCTTTCTTCTTTTGAATGCCTCCCTTCTACTCCTATCTTCTAATTCATTAGTAACCTTTTTCTCGTTAACTGTTCTATAAAGAATAATGTACATTAAAATAAATAACTTCTAACTAACACCCAAGTGTAAAAGGGCAAAAGTGCATGACCGTATTTCTCTCTTTGGGAATTACTGGCACATTGTAGAATGGAAAGGGAAGAGGGAAATTAGCCAAGAAACCAGCTGTTGTGTACTGGGGATTGACTCTCTCCTGCTGTATGTGGCTGAAATTTTTCCTACACAGAGTTATACACTAGGCAGATGGCGGAAATTGGAATAGGGAATAAGGACAAGAGCACAGCAGATATTCATAACAATGAAATATAGGCTATACTGGGCAGCTAGAAGGAGGGTAAGAAGCATATAGAAAAGGGGAATGAACTGTAATTCACTAATTTAGACACCCCAAGCCAATTTCCAATTTGCTGTTCTTGGACTAGCTGACTGAACAGTTGTAAGGGAAATCCAAAAATCTGAACAAACTGTCTTGTTGCTTTCAGAGGTGATAACTGCAGGGCTGCAAAAGCAAAATATATTTGTTGGGCAATTCTTTGCACAGAAAGATTCATCGGATCACCTTGTTTTGAACTAGCTGTTAATGCTAGAACATGAAATCAGGACTGAAATCAGCACTGAAATTAATGAATACAGGTAGTCCTCAACTTCTGAGCACAATTGAGTCCAAAATTTCTGTTGCTACGTGAGGTAGTTGTTAAGTTTGCCCCATGTTATCTCCTTTCTTGCCAAAATTATTAAGTCAATCACTTCAGTTATTAAATTAGTAGCAATAGCAATAGCACTTAGACTTATATATCACTTCACAGTGCTTTACAGCCCTCTCTAAGCAGTTTACAGAACCGCATATTGACCCCAACAATCTGGGTCCTCATTTTACTGATCTCAGAAGGATGGAAGGCTGAGTCGACCTTGAGCTGGTGAGAATCGAACTCCTGGCAGTCAGCAGTGAGTTAACTTGCAATGCTGCATTCTAACCATTATGCCACCATGGTTGTTAAGTGAATCTGGCTTTCCCATTGACTATGCATGTTAGAAGGTTGCAAAAAGGGATCACATATCCCCAAGATACTGCAACTGTCATAAATGAGTCAGTTGACAAGCATCTGAATTTTCATCACAGGACCATAAGGATACTGCAACATCCATAAGTATGAAAAACGATTCAGTGCTGTTGTAACTTTGAATAGTTGCTAAACTGTTGTATTTTGAACTATTGTAAGTCAAGGACTACCTGTAAAAGCTTTTGAAATGTGGTTCCTATACTATGCTATAACTATGAGTAGAATACGCCTTCCACAAAAAGTATTGGTGCCTTTTATAAAATAACTGTTTGTTTAATTATAGTGTCTTTTAGCTAATGGCTTTCACCCAAGCTTGGGATCAACGGTATCCAATGTATACTTTAAATGGCAGGTCATTTTCTTAACACTTCACCTATTTTAGCATACATCTGCTTCCTTTAATATTATGCCTTTTCTTCTTTCTGTAATGTAGATTATATAATTCTTTAACCTCATTACCTGGAGTCCTATATTGGCTATTCCTTGAAAACCTGCTTATTATATACTGTCACTTGCTGTCAGAGACATTACAAGACAAAAAGAAGAGAGAAATCAGTCCTGGCCACAATAAATTCTTTTGTTAGATCACCAAAGTAGTATTATACTATGAGCTCATACAAGGTGGAGATTTGGTAGAGACTCAAGCAAGTAATGGCCTCTCTCCAAACATACCACTGATATTAGTTCTCACAAAACAACTTGATCTTCATAACTCCTACATCTTTCTGACAATGCACTTTGATTGGCACTAAGTTTACAATGATACTGCCCCTTTAACTGCCATCCATGGCAGCATCCAAAACACAGACAGGCAAGGAACTCTTCAACCTACTGATGTTTAAAATGTTAGTAGTCTGTTTACAAAACCTGTTTGATGCTTCAGGGCAAGCCATTTGACAGTGCAGCTTAGTGGCTTATCTAGATAAGAGGAATGTATTATAAACTTGTTTGTTCTATTCCTTACCTGAATCACCTCATCAGATATGTTGCTACTTGAATTAAAATGCTTTCTTCTATTTCTTCCCTCCCTCTACTGCACATATATGTGCAACCTCTACAGTTCCGTACAAAACAGCTGACAATGCAGTACAACATCACTGTAAGTGATATAAAGTCATTATTAATCAGAAACCACATCATCATCCTAAGAAAAGCCAGACACCAAAATCTGTTATAGCATCCCTAAACTTCAAACTTTATGCTTATGGCTGATTACAAGAAATATAAATACCTCCAACGTATGCATCTATATTATGGTTCTTCCAAAACACTAGTCATAGGCATTTGTAAATAGCATTTAAACAGATTCTCTGCTCATTTGATCTAAGCACACAGGTTTTAAATGCCTTGGCTGAAGGCTGAATATGCCATGACCTAAACAAGGAAAAGGTCATAGCCTGTTCTTCAAGAAATTGAAGAAATTGGGGGTGGTGCGAAGGTTCAGTGGTTAGGTGTTGGGTTTGAGACCAAAGTGTCACACGATGGGGTGAACTCCTGTTCTCGCCCCAATTCCTGCCCACCTAGCAGTTTGAAAGCATGAAAATGCGAGTGCAACCTGTATCATAGATACCATTTCAGTGGGGAGGAAATAGCACTTTGTGACATCATATCGGTCACGTGACCATGGAAATATCTTAGGGTAGTGCTAGCTCACTGGCCCTTGAAATGGAGATGAGCGTCGCCCCCTATAGACTGTTATGACAAGCAGAGTAAAATCCTCAGGGATTTCTTCCTTTCCTCTCCTTCAAGAAATGATTGCATTTCTTTTTGAAATGCCTATTTCCTTATGACTCTTCCTGTACAATGAAAAAATCTTCAGATGTCTTTCTTTGGATGGATGACCCCACTGTCACAAAAAATGGCAGATAGAAGACAAATCTAGTGTCTTTTCTGTGCTGGCACCTTGATATTTTTGAGTCATATGACTCTGCCTGCTCTGATGGGATTTTAATGCCAGGGGGAAAATATTTTAAAATCCCCTAAGCATTTTAAACTGATATTTTTTTTCTCCAATGATTGGACTTCATTACATTTTCCCATCTGCTGTTTTTCATTTTAATGCTGTTATTTTATGATGTGCATTTCATTACTTTTGTTGTACTATTTTATTTTTATTTTCATTACAAGACCACCCTGTGAAAGTGACTTGGAAAGGCAGCATATAAATAACAAAAATAAAAATAAATATTAATTTTAGAAGTGAAATAAGTGTAGCCATTCAGGTTCCAAACAGACTCTCAAAATAGACTGAAATATGGACTTTTAAAAGATTTTAAGAAATATACTGAAAATACATTTGTCATTTTCACTCTCATGGGGCTTAGGGTTCTACTTCAATTTCAAGCACACCTCAGAGAAGCAAGAATAAGTATTTCACCTTGAAACAATAAGTCACTAGAAGTCTGACAACTGTCAATGTATCAAATGTAGCCTGTAGGTTAGATTTGCCTTTCTTAGGGGCAACCTTTAAGTCTCCTATTTTTTTTTAAAGAAATATTTAAATGTAGATATCCATTCATTCTGAAGCTTCCTTTTCCAAAGCATTTTCAAATGATCATTTGAAGCTATATATATTAAACTGGATCTCAATCCATCTATGCACTGCTATTAATTTCAACTTGGTGCTGTTGGCTTTCAAGTTAATCTGATTTATCAAAACCTTCCTCTTTATATGCCATCTTAAGGATAAATTGTTGAGAATGCAGTTTGCAATCAATGTATTAAGCCATTTTGGAAAAAAGAAAAGCAAGCAAGCAGGGGAACAAAAGACAGAGGAAGTGAGAGAAAAAGAGACAGCAAGAGACTATTGCCAGAACCAAGGTGGTTGAATCTATTGACATGCCCTACCAAGGAGACAACTTTGTCCCTTGCCTCCCGTCTTGCCCACAATCCACCCATTCCCCCCCCTAAGAAAATGGCTTTGTTCTCACCTGGTCTGACTCCTGCTAGGACAGGCAGCGGGTGGTGGGTGAAAGCCATTCTCGGGGAGGTGGTGTGGGAGGACAGGGCACTGCAGAAATCCAGCTTTCCTGACTTCTTTAAAGAAGCCGGTCCTGGCAAGGAATCAGGGAGAAAGTTCATGGTTTAACAGATGGAGGAAAGATGGATTAGTAGTTAGCCATGCTCTTTCATTCACTTCTGTGGTCCAACTTATGTTCTACAACAGATCTAAGGGATTATATTGGGAATGGCTGCTTTCAATTTTTAGTTTCTCTACCTGTCACTTTTATGAATTGTCAGAAGCAGCTCACATATCTATTCTGCATAAAAGCCAACAATGAAGTAGAAGTAGATAGACAGGTAGCATTATTATTCATTATTTCTACAGCACTTAAAATATACTATTAAGAGCAATCTCCATGTGTCTCTGAGGTGCCTCCATCAATAAAATAAAAATAAAAGTAAATAAAATCTTCTTTGTGTCTGGTTTGGAATCTACATACATCTAGGCAACATACAGAAGTAGCTGCCTGCAACCAATTCCAGGATTTTTTAAAAACTTATACTCCAGCCTACCGTACGGTCCTGGGATTCATTCAAGCACATATCCTTAGCTTCCAAGCGCAGACTAGATTAGCCAAGTTCTACCACTTGTTAAGATTTAGATCCATCAATCAAGGTGTGCAATAAATTAGTGTTTGACTCCATCAGGTTGCAATATTTTATTTCCTTTCAAGAATCTATCTTTGCCCCCTTCTCTGCTACTCACTATTCCTTGTCCTAGAGCACATCTAAGTTTGTTATATCTCAGTGACAAGATGTAATTTGAATGCTTATTAGGGTTTTTCAAAGCCCTGTGCCAGATCAGTTTCTTGCCTTTGTTCTAAAGCAGTCTTGCTTCAGTGGAGTTTGCCATGCGATTGAAAATGCTTATTTGCATGACAAATGCTACTCTTCCTTTTATTATTAAACATCAATATAAATTTGTTCAAAGGCTGTTTTAAGTTTGCTCCACAGTTCCCTACAAATACCTAGATTTATCACGTCATTTGAGCAAGGCCTTAGTTGGAGGCCAGGAGAACTAATAATAGCCAAAAAGTGAAGAAAGTAAATAGTAAAAGGCATGGGGAAAAAAACTCTTAATAATTCACAAGAGAACAATTGAAATTGATTATTTTCCAGAAATGGCTTCACTTCTTCGCTGATCAGCACAGCTGAAATACTTTTCTGATGTATTTTTCCTGACTCTCTTGATTCCTACTTCCCCCCAGAAATTATTATTTATTACTAGATTTATATTCTGTTTCTGTTTTGTATAACTCAAGGCAACATCCATACGGCAATACTCCTGGGTTTGGGTTGGTCTGAGAGAGTGACTGGTGTAAAATTATGTTTCCAGCTTCCATGCCTAGAGCTTACCATATCCTAATCTAACCCAGGATGTTATCCACTATGTCAAGGGTCCCCAGCCCACTACTGGAGCTTGAGCCTTTCAGAACTGAGCCTCAGAAGTGGTGGGCAAGTACGTGCATGCTCCTTTTGTGCAAGTGGAGCTGTGGGCGCACACTTGCCTGCCACTGTCCCTCTCCCTCCTTTCCACTGCCAGTCTGCAAAGTCAAAGAGGTTGGAGAACTCTGCACTATGTGAAAGTGACTCTCTTAGCTTGACTGATACACTTCTGTGAAGTATTGGTGGTGGGGCAGATATCATCAAGGTGGGAAACCAAAATGCCAAGCACATGTCTGTCTTCAGTTTATTTATCTATTTGTTTAAATGTTTAATCACAGGGTTGCCCCCCGCATAAAACTTTGTATGTTGTGCAAATCTGAGAAACCAAGCAGGCTATTCCACTTTCTTCTATCTTATATACTAGGTTGTGGTAGACTAAGGCTTGCTAAAAGAGGAAAGAAGATCAGCCTGCATTTTAAAAAGAATTGTATCTGATGACCTCTCACAAGGCCAATAAGAAAAACTCAGTAAAATCAGACATGGGAACAATCAGCCTATGCAGTTATATCTCAAGGATATAATTACTGTAGTCTGTTCCTAGGAAATAAGTACAATAGAGTATATTATAAAGTATAAAAGTACATTATAATTAAAGAATCTTGGAATGTGTTTGTCATTATCAATCATCTTTTTCTTACATATTACAAGGCTTAATATCCTTATACTATAATACAGTATATAAGTATCAAGAGCAATAAAAGATAGTTTGGTCTGTTCTCTTCAAATAGTTAAGGAGACTATGGGTTCTTAGGCAAGAAAGCCAGTTGGGTAATTTGGGGCCAGTCACTCCCTCTCAGCCCATGACACCAAATTTGGTTGAGACAAGCCAGTTGGCCACTTTCTGTCACAACCAATGGATCAACACTTGGTTGATCTAAAAAGTAGATTCTGCATTTGTGGGAAAACGCTACGAAGAAAAAAATGCTACGAAGAAAAAAAAATCCCAACATTTTAAATGTTGCTTTGAAACTGTTGTGGGACTCAGTTTTGACTGATACACTGATGATGAAGGATGAAGAATTTGAACTGCATTTTTGTCCTGTTTTTCATATTTCATATTCTTTCATACAATAGACAAATACATGTAGTAATTTTATCTTTGAATGGGAAAGTTGTGAATGACCGAGAGTACTTCTGCAGTTGAAATTTGAAATGTTAGTTACTTTGCAATGGGGAAATAAATGCCAGTCCTGAAGATGAAGAAATATGTCAGGGTGTGTGTGTTAAAATGGCAGAGCATGGCTGAAGGAGAAAGAGGAGTCTCACAGCATTTTATTTTCAGTATAGTATCAGACTCCAGAACAAGTTTTATGGGGTAAGTCCAATAGCAACTTGAACAGACAAATTACATATTTCATTGAGGATAACAGCTTTTATATATTTGGGACTCTCCAGGAAAAAAAAAAGTTCGCCATAACCAGCAGTGCAATAGAAATGAACAAATATTATGACCAAGATGGACACAAAGATTCTGTACCCATGCTGTATAGAGTGTCCATATAAATTAACAACAAAAGAAGTAAATTAAGAAGTTCAAACTTTAATATTTAAAATGTAAATGTGGAAGAATGGCATATGAATTGAAAGCTTTAAAGCTTAAAAGATAAGTGACTGAAATTTGGATGTATTCAGAAATAGTTGGGTATACTCAAGAACAAAATGTTGAGCTGTCAGAGAAGCTCAGATCATTTCATTTGGCCAGCTACAATTTAGAAATTGTGATATGTGCTTAAGGTTCTTCAAGTCAAAGCACTTATTACTTTATTCCCTCAGGCAGCTGCTTAGTGAATAATGCCTCTTTTCCATAGTTTGGCTATGTCTTGTTTCAATAGATACTGCTGTCATCAGTATATATCTCTCATTATATTGAAGTATTTATTAAATAGGTTTGCAAGTTTTATCTGCAAAGCTGTTTTATTATTTACTATTAATTAATATAGCTAAATTTCATTTCTGTACTTGATTTATTCAGCAGTTTGAATTATCTGAGGCCAAACAAAGAATATTGCTTAACAATGCCTTTTTAGAACAACCACTTGAGAGTTATCTCCCTGATTCACAGGATGATAAGGAGGTTCAGCACAATCTCAATAAAAATAGACTTTAGCCTTCTGGGGAGTTGATTTTCTGGTCTGGGTAGGCCAGAAGCGATGCTCAGGGTCCAAACCTCCAGGGGGGATTTGGTCTCTTGCTCCTCTCGCTTAAATGGCTCCTTCAGAGGTGGACCAGCTGATAGGATTTGGGAGATGCCAGAATGACTTCGGGCACTGGGAAGCTCGGAACATGTCCAGTTACTCCACAGACAGAGCTTTGATGGACTAAGGGACAGAAGGTGGGATCAGAGGGTGAGCTCAAATGGCATCCCGATTCCTGCAGAAGGAAGCTCCAGGGCTGGGCTTGGGCAGGTTAGGAAAAGCAATCCTGGCTGCCTCTTGGGGATGGGAACTCTCTGCCCTTCCCATTTGCTGGGGCTGTTGGTGTAGCGGTGGTGGAAGGCTCATCCCATGGAGCTAAAAGACAAGGCTGGATGGCATCGGTCTAATGGGCAGGGCCCACAATAGGCAGTGACAACAACTGGCTATGCTGCCTTGCCCAGCCCCACTGTCTTTATTTGCCCGCAGCTGGGAAATGGCGGGCGGCTGCCCAGAGTGTCCAATGAGCCGTATTACATGCTTTACTCTCTGTGTCTCTGCCTCCAACCTGCTGCTTAAAGGGCTGGCCTGACAGCTGCGGTGCTCGAACCCACCGATGCTGCGTCGGCTGTGGGACCCTGAGGTAGGAGTGCAGTGCAGGTGGGGCAGGGCCGAGCATGGTTTATTGGATGCCCCAGGTTCACATCCAGCTGGCCATCACTGCCAGCCAATGAGTGGCCAAGGGGCCAATGAGCTGCAACTGCTGACACCCCCAACCACCACGTGCTTGCTGCCTCCTGTGTGTGCACCCAGGGAGACCACCCAGTCAGAAGGGACCAGGACCAAGGCGGCAAGGGCCACCCCCTTGCTGTCTCCAGGGAAGCTCCATGGGCCAGATCCAAACACATCACGGGCCAGATCTGGGCCGCGGACCTTGAGTTTGAAATGTCTGAATGGACGTAGTATATAACCAATGCTTGAGCAGGGTCCACAGTATTGTCTGGGATGCTACACATCCTCTTCCTGACCTGTTTTCTTTATTACCTTCTGGGAGGAGGCTTCGTGGTATCAGAAGCAGGACAACTAGATTTTGTTCCATACAGTTATCAATCTTGTGAACTTTCAAGTCTTTCCGCTATGTATTCAAAATGGACAGTGATTAGTATATTGTATATATATGTGTGTGTGTGTTTGTGTGTGTGTGTGTATACACACACACACACACACGTATATATATGGGTCTAGATTTGTATACGTGTGTATATAGCATATGTATATATATGATGCATGGGTAGTTATATACTTTCTTTTGAAAGCAGGCAACAGAATTTCATTTTTTAATGTGTGCCAATGTGCTCACAGTAAAAAATAATCACAATAAAGTTTGCCTTGCCTTGCTTTGCCTTGTATAATATGCTTAGCTATCATAAAAATTCAGTTACTATGACCTGACTGTGGAATGGAATATAGAAGAAAAGGGCAGGGCAGCATAGTTAGAACTAGAAACACAGCAACATTTCATTGTACCTTGCTAGAATTAGCTGCTGTACACAGCTCTGATGTTGCTGCCCTGGAGTATCACTGATTTGTTGACTCTTGGACTCACCCCTAGACTCCACTCTAATGCACACACAAGCCATTGTTATAATAAACCATCTGTCTTTGGGCAGTTCACTTCAGTGTGACATACAATAGAGATAGGTGATGTAGTGTCAAAGAAGGATTTCTTTTGTGTGTGCATTCTTAGATCCACGCTGTGAATTGAACTTGATTAAAAGCATCCACAACCTGGGAAATATGATTTTGAGTTATAAAATGCTGTCTCAACAGATACAAATCAGGAATCTGGTGACATACCCCTTGAATATTGGAGGACCAATCTGTATTGGTCCTCCAATATTCAAGGGGTATGTCACCAGATTTCTGCTTCATGCAGAAATGGGCCATTCCTGTTCATCACTATCTTTCTAATGCAGCACAATCTGGCACTTCAGCAGCAGGCAAGGGGGGCGGGGGGGGGGCTTGAGAGAGAAAAGCCCCCAGCCTGTTATCTCATGCCAGCTGCCTAACACCTGATACCTGTGCATAGGGATAGGGAGGGGGGCTGCCAGCCAGCTGTGAACACCTGTCTCTGTCAGACGGCTGGATGGTCTCTCCAGCTGTTCATACAAGCCCTGCAGCTGTGCTGCTTAATTGGTGATTTGTTCAGATGGTTGGGAACAAACCTCAACAAGACAAAGGAGGAGGAGGGAGATGAAAGAAAGAGAAAGAATGTTTTTGAATACAGCTTGTTCCACAGCCTTCAGCCCTCAGAAAATGAAGGAAGACCCAAGTACAAAACAAACCCACTCCCATAATTATTCCCTACAGATCAGCGGAATAATTTTGATTTATCAAATATACTGCAAACACAGAGGAAGTGCAGCTTATAAAGCATTTAAGAAACTGGCTCAAGATTTTATGTGCTGTATGCTGCATTGGAACACTCCTTTTAATGGAGTATTCGCCTATTTTCTTTAGAAGCTACCCTAGAAATTGGAAGTAGAGTATCATCTAGACAGAGCTGCCCACTGTTCTATTCTGACAGTAAGTGTGCAAATTCACAAACCTTTTCATATACTTTAGTAACGCTGTATTTCCATAAATATGTACAAAGAGGATGCTCCTTTTTTCCTATGGCATCTGACTTACAAATTTATGTATCCACATAAACTATCTACTGGTATATTGTGGGATAAAGATATTAATGTGGGAAGAGGTTCAGAAGAATAGCTAGAGTTTCCATGTTGGCATATAAAAATAATGAAAATGTAATGAAAAGGACAATACAATATTAAGAATCTTCTTTTCGTCTTCTATGTCATCCAAGACTTACATTAATTCCCACACCTAATGGGCTACTGGCTGATCATATCTAATCCCCATGATCAGCCAGTAGCCCATTAGGTGTGGGAAAACACAGTTGAATTGGAGATTACTTTAAATGATGGAAGCTGTAACTGTATACACATACACCTCACCACAGCTACTCTCTGGGCTGACAGTATTTCCAATAAAGCAAATTTAGTTTTTGTGAAGAAGATTGAATTTTTAAAATATTTTTCTTCATTCACATTGGTTAAAGAAAACAGGATAATTTCTTCTGGAATGAAGGAAAATACCCTGCTAAGCAAACAGATGAATACCCAAACAATAAGAGCAAATTACTATTTAAATTTACAGCAAAAATTTTATGCAATAATTAAAATATACTGTATACCTTATTTGGAGAACAGAGCAGAGCTCAGCTTTCCTATATCTCATATGTGGTCAAACTTACTTCATCAGCTCTTTAATCAGAATCGCCAGAGAGGTTTCAGATAAACCAGGAATATTTGGACCATAGATAGTCAATTCACTCTAGCCACCAGCATCCCATTCCTCGTTCCTATTTATTCCACTAATTCCAATACAGCCAGAATCCATTCTTGTAAGGACAGTTGATTTCCAGTACTATAAGAAATCCCACTATGGACAGCTGCATTGCCTTACATTGGAGTCCATTGCTCAAACCTTCAAACTAGGTAGCAGTTACTTCATTCCCATTATCCTGCACACAAATTTCTTTACCCTGACATTAATCCTTTTTCTCTTTATTCATGAAGATTATGTCATGCACATATTCAACATATGCATGCCAATATGCTCTCATTCATGCTCACAAACTAGCATCTTTGAGGTAGTTATCTAGATGTGTCAGTCTGCAAAACTACACAGACCATAGCATGTTTGTATCACAGTCTTTTGAAGTCTACATGAATTTCATTCGATGTGTACAATTTACTATTGGTTCCATTATGCTTATGTAGTATTTCAGAACACCTTATTTCACTGGGTTTCATGCTGGGAATCTTTATATATTATTGCATGCCATGTAGTGTTTTTTGCTAGTATTCAAAAGATGAGTTATCCACCCCATGTGCTCTGTGCAGGTTTAACTTCATTTTGTAACCATATTTTAAATGTGAGATTCCACCTGTGTTTAGGTATGTGTCTGTTAAAGGGCTATGCTTCAAATTTGTTGTAAGCAACCGTATACCAACTTGTTTGAACCATTTTCCTAAACAGCTCCTTCCAGTCTGTAGAATCCAAACAGAGTTCACCTGAAACAAACATAATTGTCACTTGTCCTATACCTTCTTCATTAACAAAGCATTAACTAATATGGTCACTGTATTGGAAGAACAGATGTCATTGTGGATGAAATCTGTGCAGGCCTAATGGAGATGGTAAAGGAAGGGCAAAGATCAGACTAGTCCTTTTACTACTGTTTTCCATCTCAATATGTTAACTGATGAGGAAAGACTGTTGCCTCTTACCCGCATCCACATCATTGGGCCAACCACTGGATTGGCTGCTTCCAGCTGCTGGGGACCGTCCTGTTCCAGGATAAAACACATCATCTACTGGACTCTCCATTTCACTGTCATCTAGTGACTTAGGCCGTTTGGTGGAACTGCAGTGGAAATATAACACAGAGGAACAGAACATAAGCAACAATGTAATGAAATACAGGGTTAAGTACTTACTACCACCACCCTCACAGTTGGGACTAATTACTACAAGAAATGCCATTTGGTTTTAAGAATCTTTCAATGAATTCAAAGATTTCTCCACTTCACAAAGGTTGTAGGAGACCTACCTGCTAGAGGGTGGAGATGTTATTGACCGTCTACCAAGAGCCACTTGATTGATGTTGTAGTAACTGGGACTCTCCAGATCAGCCAGAGAAAAGTTTGGACCAGACGCTGTGGCAACAGGAGCTAAGAGGTAAGAGGCAATAACTCAACAGACTGGAAGATAGGCAGCACGAGAAAAACAAATGCTCAAACTGATTTCCTGTTGAGTTTCTTGAATTGAAATAATACTCCCCCAAAAAAGGAGTTGTAAATGTGACCAATCACAGAGAGTACTGGTTACAAACGCATTTGTACCATATGCATGCAGATTCAGGCAAAATCATCCAATTTACAGAATAATTTCAATGGAAGTGGGGAGGGAGGGAGGGAGGGAGGGAGGGAGGGAGGGAGGGAACAAGGAAAGATTTTGTTTTGTTATCCTTCAATGTCAACATTTGATTGCAATGGAAGTTTGAATACATGGCACATAAAAAGTCTGCATAATTCTAGAAGTTGACAGTAAAAGAGCATTCTTCTGTAAGTAAGATATCACAAAAGTGAAATTACGAAGTGTGAAGAATGCATCAAATAAATCAATGCCTTTATTACTTATTTTAGATTTTTACCCTCTTTCATCTCTATAGAGCTCCAAATTGCTCACCAAAAAGTTAGAAATATAAAATAGTAAACAATAGAGAAGCATGATATTAGACTAAATATTTAAAATATTTAAATCATTAAAACTTATTGATATACTCTCAATAAACTCATACTCTACATTAAAGATCTAGAAGACTATTAGTGAAGAACGATGTATGTCTCTTGAATTTCAAAGTCCAGGCATAACCTGTTCTATATTAGCATACTCCAAACATTGAATCCTGATTGGTCCACACAGACTGCAACCCGATTGGTCAACTGAACAGCCGTGATTGGCGCACTAAGAATCAACCGCGATTGGCCAAGGTGATTGTGGGAGATTCAAAGTCCTGTCATTGGCTGGCGAGCCACGAGCAATCCCTATATGAAGGGCTGCCACGGCTCCAAGATCTTGGACAAGTCTGTATACTGAAATAAAGAGCTGAATGTACACTTGGTCTCGCGTCTCTGTGGGAACCAATCTACCGATCTAACATTGGTGACGAGGATGGGATCGTGAGACAAGAGACCAACCAAGCACATGGCAAAGCGGCACAGAACAACCGGCAAGATGGCCAGCAGCACCTCGCCACCCGCACCCTTCAACCAGGCTGCTGAGGATTGGGAATCATACATTGACCGATTCCTAATGTTCCTCAAGAGCAGCAACCTAAAAGATGCCAACAGACAGAAACAAAGGGCCGTGTTCCTGACACACTGCGGGCCCCGCAGTGTTCAAAATGGCTAAAGCCCTAGCCAAACCCACCAACGTGAAGGAGATGGACTGGGCCGACCTCAAACCGATGCTGCGGCACCACTATGCCCCCACTGCCCAATCCCATCAAAAGGCACGAGTTCTATTGGCGGGACCAGAAAGAGGGCGAGAGTATCAGTGACTTCGTGGCCACGCTGAGGGACCTCGGGGGCATGTGCGGCTTCACTGACATGGACGGGGCTCTATGGGACCGCGTGGTCCTCGGGCTCAGGGACCCCATCCTTCAGAGCCGGCTGATGGCAAGGGCCGACATCTCCGTCACCTAGGCCATCACCGAAGCGACTGCATCCGAAGCAGCCAAGCAGTCAGCAGCTCGGATGCGGCAGATGAACGCGGCAGACCGGCCAGCAACCATCGAAGCGACCCCAGCACCGGAGAATCACCCGGAAGCAAGCCCCAGGACGACCGCCACCACCCACCATGGAGACGTCGACTCCTTCTCCGAAACCAAGGACAAGGAGGAGATCCACCGACTACATATGGAACGAGACCGGCGGGAACGGAGAGGCTGTAAGTCGGGGTTCCAGTGTGCCAGCTGCGGTGGCGACCACCCCTGCTCAGAATGCCGATACCTTGATGCCATCTGTCGGCATTGTGACAAGCGGGGGCACATCGCCAAGGTGTGCTGGAATAAGAGGAACCACAGCCCCCGGCGACGAGACGACAGCCCCCGGCGACAAGACGGCACCCCCCCCAGGACCAGAGACCACCACGCCGAGAGCCGGTGGAGCCAGGATGGCCAGAGCAAGCGACTCAGCGAGACGTGGCAGAGAGAGGAGACCCATCAGACGGTCATCATCGGCCACTCCTTGACCATTGACGCCCAGAAGGTGCACGTGGAGGTAGGCATCGAGGACCAACCATACGAGATGGAGATGGATTCCGGATCCTACCTCTCCATGGTGTCCTGGAGCACAATCAAGCGCCTGGTGCCTACCATCCACCGAGGTGACGGGCATCAACCACGTTGCCGAGGCGGACTGGGAAGCAACACTCATGAGGGACTTCCAAGAGGTCTTCAACGTTGACCTAGGCAAGTACCGGGGGTCCCCAATCTCTTTTAATCTAAACCCAAACGTTGCCCCAATCCGCCTTAAACCACGGCGAGTGCCATTCGCGCTCAAGCCCAAAATCGATGAGCAGTTGGACAAGTTCATCGCGCAAGGGGTCTTAGAGCCAATTGACCATGCCCGGTGGGAGACCCCCATAGTCACCCCGATCAAGCCGGATGGGTCCGTAAGGATCTGTGGTGACTACAAGGCCACCCTCAACCACACGCTGCAGCAGAGTGCCTACCCCGTCCCAGTGGTACAGCACCTCCTGCACTCACTGGGGGGGAGGCCGGGTCTTCACGAAGCTCGACCTGGTGCAAGCATACCAGCAACTGCCAGTCGATGCTGAAACTGCAGAGGCGCAAACCATCGTAACCCACCGAGGGGCATTCTGATGCAAAAGACTCCAATTCGGAGTCAGGGTAGCGCCAGGAGTCTTCCAGAGCCTGAAGGAAAGGCTACTCCAAGGGATCAAAGGGGTGGTGCCCTATTTCAATGACGTGCTGGTGTCAGCTACCAATAAAAACCAATTGGAAAGCCGCCTAAGGGAGGTGTTACAAAAATTCAAAGACTCTGGGCTAAAAGTTAAAAAAGAAAAATGTCAGCTGTGCACCGAAAAGGTCGAATTCCTGGGGTACCTCCTAGACCAGCACGGAATCCACCCAACAGAGAAAAAGCTCAGAGCCATCAAAGAAGCCCTTAGACCAAGGAATAAGATGGAACTGCAGGCTTTTCTTGGACTTATTAATTTTTATAATGTTTTCCTGCCCCAAAAGGCGACTGCGGCAGAACCCCTGCATAGGCTGTTGGACAAAACAGCCATCTGGACCTGGGGGAAGCGGGAGGAAAACGCCTTCAAACAAACAAAAGACCTGCTAACATCAGATGCAGTCCTCATCCAATACAGCAAGACCCTACCACTGATCGTGACATGCGATGCGTCACCCTTTGGCGTCGGGGCCATCCTCAGCCACACGCTACCAGACGGAAAAGAAGCACCCATCGCCTTCTTTTCAAGAACACTATCCAAACCAGAAAGGAACTACAGCCAGCTGGACAAGGAGGCCCTTGCAGTCATCGCCGGCGTGAAAAGGTTCCACGAGTACCTCTACGGTAGGACCTTTTCAATTATTACCGACCACAAGCCACTGCTAAGGATACTGGCAACAAGGCCACCCCGAACATACTGTCACCTAGGATGACAAGGTGGTCCGAGTTCCTTGCCACCTACAGCTACCAGCTAACTCATCGACCCGGCAAGAACATCTCACATGCAAATGCATTGAGCCGCTCCCCCCTGCCCAACCTGGAGGATGACCCAGCACCCACAACATCAGCCCTGCATATAGAGACATTACACAACCCACCCCTGACCGCGTCAGACATTGCCACAGAAACTAATAAAGACAAACGGCTGGTGTGAGTCTTGTGCTGGGTGGAAAAAGGGTGGCCGGAAAGCGACGGCGGCAAACAATTGAAACCCTTTGGCAACTGGCAGGCTGAACTCTTTACACAAAAGGGTTGCATACTTTGGGGGGACAGAGTTGTGATTCCAGAAACTCTACAAAAAAGGGTATTGTCTATGCTGCATGAGGGGCACCCGGGCATAGTTAAAATGAAAGCCCTGGTCAGGAGTTATGCCTGGTGGCCAGGAATGGACAAACAGATCGAGACTTGGGTAGCCACATGCAAGAAATGCCAGGAAACCAGACCAAGCCCGCCCGCCGCCCCAATCCTGGAATGGGAGACTCCCAGGGGCCCCTGGTCTAGAATCCATATAGACTTCGCCGGGCCTACCAAGGGACACACATTTCTGATTACAGTCGATGCTTACTCCAACTGGCTGGAGGTAAGCACTATGAAAACCACAACCACAGAGGCCGTCATCAAGAAACTAAACAAACTATTCACCACCCATGGGTTACCAGATGTGCTAGTCTTGAACAACGGCCCACAATTTACCGCACTAGCCTTTGAAAAATTCCTGGCGGAACGGGGAATACGGCATGCGTTGACAGCACCCACTCATCCGGCAGTGAACGAGCGGGCGGAAAGCATGGTCCCTTACACAAAAAACACCATACAGAAAATCGAAACCGGGGACATACAAGAAAAAATAAATAAAATGCTTTTAATACAACACATAACACCTGACACAACGACAAATAAAAGCCCAGCAGAATTACTCATGGGCAGAAAACTAAGATCCCCGTTAGACAGGCTACACCCCACATACAACCCCGAGAAACCCCCAGACTCATCAAGCAAACACCAAACATTCAACACTGGAGATGCCGTCTATGCCAAAAATTTTACAGGGGACCCGCTCTGGGTACCGGCGAAAATAATCCAGGTAACGGGCCCCCAGTCTTACTGGCTACAAACCAAAGACTGACAAAGCTGGAAGCGACATATCGACCAGCTAAGGTCAAGAACAGCCACCGACAACACTGACAGCACTCAAACACCACAAACAACTACTAATAAAGAAACCAGAGGGCGGGGGAACCTCAAACAATAAACAAAAAGGAGAAGAAAATCCTAACGCGCAAACAGAACACCCCCAAGCCAAAATAAACCAGCAATACTCACCGGTAAACAACAAACCTGCAACAGACAAACAACTGGGAGCTTCACCTGGAAGGAGCAGCCAAGCCAGTTCGACCAGCCCAGAAAGACCAGGCAGGAACAGCGGAATCGGCAGCTCAACTGACCCGGGTAGACCGGGTGGGAGCTACCACAGTAGGCCCGGCTCATCCTTCCAGGCGGTTCCATCCAGGAGAACCAGAGTGACGAGGAGTCCATTCGAACCGGTCGAGGACCAAGCAGCAACTGAGCCGTGCAGGTCAAGTAGGCAGGTACGAAGCCCCCCCTACCTGCGCGACTACATAACCATGCTTCATCAGACTGAACCAAGAGGGGAGGGGTGTTCTATATTAGCATACTCCAAACACTGAATCCTGATTGGTCCACATGGACCGCAACCCGATTGGTCAACTGAACGGTCGTGATTGGTGCGCTAAGTATCAACTGTGATTGGCCGAGCCGATCACAGGAGATTCAAAGCCCTGTCATTGGCCGCCGAGCTGCGAGCAATCCCTATATGAAGGGCTGCCGCGGCTCCAAGATCTTGGACAAGTCTGTATACTGAAATAAAGAGCTGAATGTATACTTAGTCTCGCGTCTCTGTGGGAATCGATCTACCGATCTAACATAACCTATAAAAGGGCTCTTTTTCTAGTCCTAATCAGATGGCTTTCAGATTCTTGAGTTTATACAATACCATCAGAATAGAGCTGGAAGAGTCCTTTGAGGTCTTCTAGTCCATCCCCCTGCTCAAGCAGGAGACCCTATACCACTTCAGACAAGTGACTGTCCAGTCTCTTCTTAAAAACCTCCAGTGATGAAGCACCCACAACATCGGGAGGGAAGCTGTTCCACTGATTAATTGTTCTCACTGTTAGGAAGTTTCTCCTCAATTCCAGGTTGCTTCTCTGTCTGATTAGTTTCCATCGTTTCCAAAGCCCTCTGGTGCTTTGGAAATTTGACCCGCTCCTCTTTGTGGCACCTCTCAAATACTGGAATAGTGCTATCATGTCTCTCTAGTCCTTCTTTTCTCTAGACTAGCCAAACCCAAAATTTGCAACCATTCACATGTTTTTGTCTCCAGGCCTTCAATCATCTCAGCTGCTCTTCTCTGAACTTGTTCCAAAGTCTCAACATTTTTTTCTGTAATGTGGTGACCCAGTATTCCAGGTGTGGCCTTACTAAGGCTTTATAAACTGGTAGTAATATTTCATGTGATTTTGATTCTATGCCTGTTTATACAACCAAGGATTATATTAGTTTTTTGGCTGCTGCCACATACTGCTGGCTCATATTTAAGTGATCACTCACTAGGACTCAAAGTTTCCTCTCATAGCTACTGTTTTTTTGTCAGGTTTCACCTAATCTGTACTTGTACCTTTGGCTTTTCCTCCCTAAGTGCAAAACCTTGTTTTTCTCCACATTAAATTTCATTTTGTTGGATATGGCCCATTGTTCAAGACTGTCAAGATCTTTTTGGATCCTGAGCTTGTCTTCTGGGGTGTTGGCTATTCCTGCCAGCTTAGTGTCATCTGTAAATTTGATGAGTTCTCCTTCTATTCCCTCATCTAAGTCACTTATGAAGATATTGAAGAGTACTGGGCCTAAGATGGAACCTTGTGGTACCCCACTGTTTACTTCCCTCCATATGGATGTAGTACCATCAAGGATGACTCGTTGAGTACAGTTTCTCAGCCAGTTACAAATCCATCTGGTGGTGATGTTGTCTATCCCACATTTTTCTAGCTTACCAAAAAGTAGTTTGTGATCTACTTTGTTGAATTCCTTGCTGAAATCTATGTATACTATGTCCACAGCATTCTGCTGATCTACTAATTTAGTCACTTTGTCAAAGAATGAAATAAGATTAGTTTGGCATGGTCTTTTTTTAACAAACCCATGCTGGCTTTTAGTTATAACTTTATTTGTTTCTAGATGTTCACATATTTTTTAATATCATTTTTTATTTTATATTGCTCATAAATATCAATGCGTGAACAGTGTGATACCTGGGTACCATATGTTTAATACAGATAAACATAATGTTGTTACTCATAGTTATTATATTTATTTTCATTGCTTCATGTTGTTTAAGCATATCTAATACCACTGCCATTCAATTTCTAGACCTCCCTCTTGTTATTACATATATCTTCTTATATTAAAATATGTATATTGTTGTTCACCTCTTATTTCTATTTCTATTCTTTCTTATTTTTCCCATTGGTTCATTTAAGCATACATAACATTTCTTTTCACCATTATTTATTATCCCCTGTCTTATATTTAATATTTTAAAAATTACTCATTTTTCCACCATGCTTTCAATATCCCAAATATCCAACACTACTAATCAATCCAAATATTAATAGTATTCAAACAATCCCAGGATTACATCTCCAATTCTCCTAATCTTTAAAAGTTTGAAATTCACAATATATTTTAACACACTAATATTAATAATACAATTAAATTCCCTAATCTTAAACTTTTACCTTCTACCCTTAACTTAATTTTCAAAATAGTACATTCTATTTATGTTAATATGCTTAATATATATGCTACTATTTTCCCTATTAAATTTTCTACGTTTCCATTTTACTAATGCATTTTATCGCTATCCATCATCCCTTGGTCTCTTTGGAGTTCCATCATCTGTTAACTTTCTAATCACCTTTTTCTTTTTCTCTCTTGGAAATTTATAGTTTTTTGTAATGTTTTTATGCTCACTAAATATTCCTTGATGTTAAGCTGGTTGATCTGTAGTTTCCTGAGTCTGTTTTTTCCCCCTTTTTTTGAAGATGGGAACCACATTAGCTCTTTTTCAATCCTCAGGTAATTTCTTGGTGTTCCAGGATTTTTGAAAAATATTGTACAATGGTTCTGAGATAAATCTGACAGTTCCTTCAGAACTCAGGCATGTAAACCCTCAGGTCCCAATGATTTATATTTGTCAATATCAGATAGGTGTTCTCTAACCATTTTATTGTTTATTTTAATTTTTATTTCTACTCTTTTCTTTTACAGTTATGTTTTTGGTAGGTTGGGCTACAGTATCTTTTTGTGTGAAAATTGATGCAAAGAATGAGTTAAACAGTTCTGCTTTATCTCTGCTACCTGTTACTTCCTTGTCATCTTCTCTCTTAAGTAGACCTATTGTTTCCTTGACTTTTTTCTTGTTATTTATATGTTGAAAGAAACTCTATTATCTTTGACTTTTGTTGCAAGTCTTTGTTCATTCTGAGCCTTTGCTTTCCTGACTTCATTTTTGCAGATTTGGGTTATCTGCTGATTCTCTGCCTTGATTATGTATCCTTCTTTCCATTTTTTTTGCACTTGTCCTTTTTGTCTTTCAGTTTTTCAGAAATATCTTTGTGCAACAAGGTTATTTTTTCTTGGTTTTTCTTTTTCAACGGTATTGTGCTGGACTGGGCTTTTGTGGTCAGATTTTTCAGTTTCCCACACTTCTTCAGTTGTTTTTCCCTTTAGGATTTTCATTCATGGAATTTTTCTTAGGCTCTCTCTCAGTTTACAGATAATACAGACAATCAGAGTTGGAAGATACCTTGTAGGTCATCTAGTCCAACCCCCCACCCAAGCAGGAGACCCTACACCATTTCTGACAAATGGCAGTCCAATCTCTTCTTGAAAGTCTCAACTGATGGCACTCCCACAACTTCTGAGGGCAAGCTGTTCCACTGGTTGATTGTTCTCACTGTCAGAAAGTTTCTCCTTGTTTCCAGGTTAAATCTCTCCTTGTTCAGTTTCCATCCATTATTCCTTGTCTGGCCTACAGGAGCTTTAGAAAATAGCTTGACCCCTTCCTCCCTGTGGCAGCCCCTCAAATATTGGAAGACCGCTATCATGTCTCTCCTGGTCCTTCTCTTTCACTAGACTAGTCAAGCCCAGTTCCTGCAACCGTTCATTGTATGTTTTAGCCTCCAGTCCCCTAATCATCCTGTTTGCTCTTCTCTCTACTTTTTCTAGAGTCTCTTTTGTTTGTTAAAATCAGTTCTTTTAAAGTTTAAGTTCTACTGATTATGTTTGCATTATATTGAATTCCAGTATGATGTGATCACTCTTGCCCAAAGTTCTGGCATCTTTAAATCCCTCTTATCACTTCTTCTCTATTAGTTAGAATTAGGTCCAGTATAGCTTTTCCTCTAGTTTCCTCCTCTACCTTTTGGATGACAAAGTTGTCTGCTAGGTTGCTTAGGATTATGTTTGATCTCCCACTTGCTGCAGAGTTTGTCTCCCAGTTGGTATCAGGGTAGTTAATCTCCCATTACTACTATGGTATATTTCCTAAATACATTTGTTAATTGTTTAGCGAAAGATTCATCTATTTCTTCTGCTTTGTTGGATGGCCTGTAGTATGTGCCTAGAGCAATGTCATTCTTTTTTCCTTTTATATTGACCTATATGGATTCTAGGAAGGTTTCATCCTTGGATTTCTGTAGAGATATAGTGATCTTTTAATGCAATGCCACTTTCTCTTTTCTAAGGTTTGTTTATTTTGAATAGTTTGTATCCTATCAGTACATTTCAGTCATGAGTTTCATATGTTTCAATAATGACAACTATATCATATTTATCTTCAGGCACTAGCATTCCAGCTTCACCCTATTTGTTCCCTAAACACTGAACGTTTGTGTATAGGCATTTGAGTCCTTTATGGGTCTTAGGTATATTTCTTATATCTCCTATTTTGTATCAGGGTTTTCCATCCTTTCATCACTCTACTTCATTGTGTTTTTCCTCTTTTTCCTCTTCTTTCTCTTTACTCTCTACTTCTTGATATAATTGGTTCCTCTTCTTTCTTCTTTCTGGGAGACAAACTCTCTACTTCTTGATATAATTGGTTATCCAGTGGTTTCTGCTTGAAACTAGGTTCTAAAGGTCTTGAAGATTGTTCCCGTCTCCCCTCAATTTTAGTTTAAAGCCCTTCTAATAAGCCCTTTCTGAATACAGACTTTCCAGTTCTTGTGAGGTTCCCTCAATCCCTTGCCAGTAGCCCTTCATGTAGGTAATGTAGACCATGGTGAAGGAAACTGAAGTTTTCTTGACAACACCAGTTTTTAAGTTAATGGTTCATTTTTAAAATCCTTTGCTCCCTTATTGGATGTTGGCCTTTTGTTAGAAGTATAGATGAAAACATGACTTGAGCTCCTAATTAGCTTTCTTCCTAGCTGTTTGTAATCTGTTGTATTGTTTTTAGATTCATTGTTGTGTCATTGGTCCTCATGTCAGAAGGGGTAGTAATTCGTAGGTTGATTATTTTAGTAAGGTTCTCAGTTACATCTTTGATTTTTGCTCCAGGGAGAGCAAAAGACTCCCTAGACTCCCTATTCGCTCTGTAGAGTATAGTTTCTATTCCCAAAGAATCAAATCTCCTATCACCAATATTCACCTTTCTTTTTCCTAAGGAAGTCTTGGACACTATCCTTCCTGTCATAGGGATGCTAGGTTGTATGTCATTTTTAGAAACTATTGATGACTGCTCTTTTATAGGTGTGTTTTTTTCTTCCACAGGGAGGCAATGAAAGCAATTGTTTAGTTCCAGAGGGGTTTCACTGGAGTGGGCTAGGGTAGATAGTAGGATCAGTGGTGGGATTCAAAATATTAAGCAACTGGTTCTCTGCCCTAATGATTTCTTCCAACAACCAGTTCACCAAACTGCTCAGAAAGTTAACAACCGGTTCTCCCGAACTGGTGTGAACTGGCTGAATCCCACCACTGAGTAGGAGCTTTACTCTTGATTGCTGTTTATTTCTAAAAGTGACATATTGGTCTTGTTTTTTAGCTTCATATATTGGTCATTTTTGGAAGCTGTTTAAGGAACACAATTGAACCCAATTGTGTTCAATTTGGGTGTATTGGTTTTCTTCTTTTTGTTCATATATGGGGTCATTTTTTAAGAAATTGTTTGCTTCCTATTGTGTTTAATTTTTGTATTCTTGTTTAGATTGAGAATTCTCACTTTGTTCATTAGTGGCTAGAGTTGCTTCTAGACCCTTTATTTTTTCTTCTAGTAATTTATATGATTTACATTTAACATCATATGGCAGGTCTTCAGATATCCAGGCCTCAAATCTTTCAGGATTTTAGACAGTACAACTGTTTCAGTTGGGAAGTCACCTGCCCCATAGGTGCAGTTCCAGAAGCTACAGTATTCTGGATTAATTATTGTTTCTGAATACTTTTCTAAAGTAGAGCATATGGCAATAATACAGATGTGATGAAACTAAACCATTTTATTACTAGACAAATCTACATTCTTAAGGAATGGACACAGCTAATTAGGTAAAGACATTTCTGCTAAAATATAATGGGAGAGCTATCTACATGCCATTTACACATTTCAGTTTTGTTCTCAAAAACAGGAAGATAAAATTCAAGGGAAGAAGCACTTCCTAGTGATTGGGATTGGGCACAACTACTGCTGATTTTTGCCAATTGTTGTGCTATGCCTTCCTTGTGAACTTTAACCATCAATGGAGATGGCCAAAAGCAGTTTGATGCCTCCACAGGAAATGAATCTTAATTGTGGTGGAAATATCACAATAAATTAAATAACTGACTATGATTACTTTATGTGCTCATATCTTTTAGACCACATTATGATCATGAATGTTCAGATGTCTTAACACTGGCAACATTACAAATTTCTTCTTCAAACTGAAATGTGGACCCTGACTTAGGCAGCATCCATAATATCCTAACAGAACTTCTGTAGAAGAAGAGATTGGAGATATCATGAATTTTTTCCCTAAGTGGCCTATCACTTGGTCTGAGAAGAAAGAAAAACAGACTAACCAAGAGCATTGAGAAGATTTCAGGTGATTTTAAAACAAACTTCTTCTTTGCATAGAAATGGTGGGGCTTTCCAACTTAAAGAGATCAGATTTTCTCTAATAGGATTCTGCACCAAAATATATTATTGCACAGAAGGTATATGGTAATAGAGAGGAATAGTATTTGGCAATGGCAGACATGAATCTCTGACCATACTAAAAATTAATATCATAATGTTTTACGTCAGTTTGAGGTTGTGAAAAGCAAGAAGCTACGCTGCAAGCCATAATATAAGCTTAACTCCCCAATAGCTTTTCCACCACACCAAACAAACAAACAAGCAAGAAACAGGAAAATACAAAGTTTGGACCGTGTTTATATAAAAGATATGTCCTCCACTCTACATCATTAACCTATCCCCTGTGGCAGGAGTGGGATTCCAATTTTGTAACAACCAGTTCTGTGAGAGTGGCTAGGTGGGTGTAGTCATGTGACTAAGTGGGCGTGGCTTCTTTTTTTTGGTAGCCCCCCATTTTTGGGGCCTTCTGGGCCTCAGGGAAGCCTCCCAGGGGGGCGTTTTTGCTCCCAGAAGGTTTTCCTGGGGCTCAGGAAGAAAAAAAACAGAACCTGGAGGGGGCATGCAGCACCCCGTCACGCTCCATTTTGGGGCCTCCTGGGCCTCAAGGTAGCCTCCTGGGCGAAGCAGCAAGGGGAATCCCGGCATAGCTGATCATAGGAACAGCTGATTGTCGGGAGGGGGAAAAAAAGAAATACCTTAAGGAGTGACTGGGTAGGGAAGAATGCAGTCAGCGATGTTGGGCAGGTGCACAATGTTGTGCATGCACAATAAGGACTGACTGGGCAGGCGGAGAGGGGTGGGGCCAGCCAGGGGAACAACTTGCCAGTTCTCTGAACTGTGCAGAATCAAAACAACTGGCTCTATAGAACCGGTCCGAACCACTAGAATCCCATCCTGTGGCCCACATAATCTCCAGAAACCCTCCATCAGAAGCAATAGGAAAAGAGACTCCTTGCACAGAAGGCTGGATTTTACTTTCTGTTATATATAAACTCAAGAGAAAACACACATATAAACAAATTTAAAAAGTGTTAGAAAGTAAAACAGAGAATGACTTCCAAGTACGTAGAGATATCTTCAAAAAAATTATATATCATTTTGGAGATATTTAAAATATAGTCAGCAAGTACTGGTTTGGAGACTGAATACTTCTTTAAGTCAGTTAGAGTTAGACCCATCAAACTATATTTTAGATGGATCAATTGCAGAATTATGTACAGTACAGCAAAGATACAATTTCCTTAACTCTTTCTCTGGATACAAAGCTTAGTGTTCTGTTTATTCGAGTTTAGTTAAGCTTATATCACTCAGCATTCTTTGCTGAGAAAGGTAGTCTACAAACAAATTGATTGCTAATATATCATGGGTGTCAAACTCACGGCATCACATTGCCATCATGTGAGGTTTCATGATGTTTTTCCCATTCACAGAGCTGGGATGAGTATGGCCTGGGCACGATGCATCCAGCCTGCGGGCCGCCAGTTTGACACCCCTGTAATATATGCTTAAAGGTGGGCCTGATTCAGTTCATTGCTCTCAGTGAGCAGGTCAGCATGCAGTTGCCATTTGTACTGCAGCATTCACTTCTACTGATTCTACATATATGAATATCTTGTACCTTTCTGTCAGAAAGTAATTGTAATATTCATGTTAGATCACAGAGAAAAAGAGATTGTTTGATGGAAGAGAACACTTTGCAAATTTTCCAAGTATCTCTCTTTCAATAAACATTCACTGTGCAACTATTCCATCCTTTGCTCTGTAACAGAAAAAAGAATGGAAACATGCAGGAAAATGACAGTCTTGATGTCCCTCCTACCCAGTAAAAGTTTTGTCCAAAAGTAATCTGAAAAGAGCTTCCATGTTCACACTAACTCATTGACAAGTCAGGAAGTTCCTTCTTTGTTCAAAATGTACTATTTATTAATGTACTAAGTGATGGGAGGGAGAGACCAGTGATAATTCTAAGAGAAATGCTAATGAATTCAGAATTCCTTGCAAGGGGTATGTATTTGGAAGACATCTATCTAAATAGACACACATCTATTTCATCTGAAGTATTTGAGAGCCAGTACACAGCTCTCGGAGGGACATAATGTCTCAGTGGCTAAATTCTGAGCTTGTCGATCAGAAAGACAGCGGTTCGAATCCCTAGCACCGCATAATGGAATGAGCTCCTGTTACTTGTCCAAGCTTCTGCCAATCTAGCAGTTTGAAAGCATGCAAAAAATGCAAGTAGAAAAATAGGGACCATTTGGTGGGAAGGTAACAGCATTCCGCGTGCCTTCGGCGTTTAGACATGCTAGCCACATGACCATAGAAACTTCTTCGGACAGCGCTAGCTCTTTGGCTTAGAAAAGGAGATGAGCACGACCCCTAGAGCTGGAAATGACTAGCATGCATGTGTGATGGAACATTTACCTTTACCTTTTACACAGTTCTCACTATCTTGTTCTGAGCAATTTTACAACCCAAGAAGATGCCTTGGATAAGACATGTGCATCTCCATGTCTCATCACCTTAAAATCACACCAATCCTGCAGTTTCAGTTGCTTTAACTTACTCTGTGACACTCTCACCAGCTCTGTAACATTCCAAACGCCTGATGTCACAAAACAGTCCTGGAAAGTCAAATGCCCTGCAAGGAGAAAAAGGCAGAAAAAAACTGGGTCATGAGGATAGAGTAGAATATGAGTGGCTATAGCAACTGGAAACTGGGATGGCTTGCTCTAGTGTGGCTGGATAAAAAGAAATTCTAATTTGCAATCTTTTTGTCTCTTTTGTGAGTTGTATCTTAACTTCAACTTTGAATCCCATTCCTCCTCCTCTTTCAGTTTTAATTCAAGGCTAATTCATTATTTCAAATCTGCATATTTATTCCCGCTCTAAGATTACAATCCTACCTTGCTTTCCCCTACAATTATTTCTCAAGAATTCCATATCAATCTACAAAGATCTGTGATTCCTGATTGCTCTTTACTCATCCTTATCTGGGCACAGAAACAGATATTGGAAGGAAATGGGGGGAAAGGGCTTCAATGAAATTCAAAATGGAATATAAGAATGTTGAGCATGGAATACAGTGATTCCATGTTCAACAGCAGTGATTCACTCACCATTGGGCAGTGGTTTAATGTCCGCGTCTCCTTGCTGGTTTGAATTGTCTGATTGTCCGGATTCTAAAACACACAAGGAAAAAAAAACCTGTCATCAATATATTGCTGAAACTAAGAATCAGAGGCATGTGATTGACAATGTTGGGCCCTGCTTTATGGCATCACCTACTTGCTACTTTTCATACTGAATGAATAAAAATAACTGCTCTAAAATTGATAAACTATTTCGGTTTTACATATAATATGTCTTACATATTGGCAAAAAAAATCAGAAAATAAAATACAAGCTGAATAGTCAAGACCTTGTTGATGATCCAAACTCTATCAAGGACCTTGGAGTACTCATCTCTAATGATTTAAGTGTTAGAGCCCACTGTAACTACATAGCCAAAAAGGCATTAAGAATTCTTAACCTAATCCTATGTAGCTTTTTCTCTGGTAATATCACACTACTAACTAGACAAAACATTTGCTAGACCAATACTCGAATACAGCTCATCAGTCTGGAACTCGCATTACATATCTGATATTAATACAATTGAGAAAGTCCAGAATTATTTCACAAGAAGAGTTCTCCACTCCTCTACTCGTTGCAGAATACCTTATGCCACAAGACTTGAAATTCTAGAACTAGAAAACCTAGAACTACGCCGTCTTCAGTCTGATCTAAGTATAGTATATAAAATCATACATTACAATGTCCTACCTGTCAATGAATACTTCAGCTTCAACCATAACAATACAAGAGCACACAACAGATACAAACTCAAGGTAAACCACACCAAACTTGATTGCAGGAAATATGACTTCCACAACAGAGTGGTCAATGTCTGGAATACTCTACCTGATTCTGTGGTTTCTTCCCCTAACCCCCAAAACTTTAACCTTAGACTGTCTACTACTTGACCTCACCCCTTTCTTAAGAGGTCTGTAGAGGGCGTGCATAAGTGCATCAACGTGCCTACTGTCCCTGTCCTATTGTTTCTTTTATTTCTTTTAATTTTTTTGGTTTTATTTTTCTTATATGTATCCATGTATTCATAACTATGTTCATACTTATACCTGTTATCTAATAATCGCTTGACTAAATAAATAAATAAATAAATAAATAAATAATTTTTTTAAAAAAGTTTTCCTTCACTTCACTTAGAATTTTAGGATCATAGGGCTGGAAGGGACCTTGGAGATCTTCTAGTCCAATTCCCTGTCCATGGCAGGAGACTTTATATCATTCAGGACAAATGATTATCCAATCCTTTCTAGAAAACTTCCAACAATGATGCAGCCACAACTTCAGGAGGCAAGCTGTTCCATTGGTCAATTGGTCTCATTGTCAAAAAGCTTCTCCTTAGTTCCAGGTTGGATATCTCTTCAATGAGGTTCCACCCACTACTTCTTGTGCTACCCTCAGGAACTTTGGAGAATAAGTCAACCCTCACCTTTCTGTGGCAGTCCCTCATGTACCAGAAGACAGCTATCATGTCACCTCTAATTCATCTTTTCCTTAGGCTAGACATAGTTCCCTTAACTGTTCCCTTAACCGTTCCTTGTATGATTTATCCTGAAGATCCCTAATCATGTTGTTGCTCTTCTCTATGTTCTTTTTAGTGTCTCAGCATCTTTTTTTTGAGTGTAATTGTGATCAGAATTGGATAGAGTATTCCAGATTCATCTTACTTGTGCAAGATAAAATGGTACTATCATTTCTTGTGATCTTGATACTATCCCTTTCCTGATGCAGCCTAGGATTGTACTGGCTTTTTTGGAAACAGCAGCACACTGTTGACTCATACTTAACTGATGGTCCACTAGGACACCTAGATCTTTCTCACAATTACTACTGTTGAGCCAGGTACCACCTATTCTATAACTATACCTTTGACTTTTCCTGCTTCAGTGCAGGCCCTTACTTTTCTCACCAGCGAACTGCATCTTGTTAGCTAGAACCCAATATTTAAGTCTGTGAAGATCCTTCTGAATCTTGAGTCTATCCTCTTAAGTGTTAGCACTTTTCCCCAACTTAGTGTAATCTGCAAATTTGATGAGCTGTCCTTCTATCCCCTCATCTAGACCTGTACCTTATGAAAAGTTTTAAGATTTAGGTCTTCTTATTCCCAAATAATAAAAATAATATCAATATGTAGTTATGTAGGTGAGGGATGTAACAGAGGGTCATAGTGTTCTGCATGATATGGGGAAAGTAGGGAGTCAGAACTTTTTAGCCCATAACTCTAGAATTCATGAGATCATCTAAACTTTGATATTGGGATATTTAGATGAGATCAAATAAAATATTTACAGAGAAAAGTGAAACTATAATAAAACTTATTAGTAAAATGTATCATTTTGAAAATTTCAAAAATAAGTTTGCAGATGAATGAAAGATACCACTAATGGTATCCATTAATTATTACAATATATTATGGCCTTTGTCAATGGTTTTAAACAGAGATACTGATTTTCCTGGTGTATTTGTATACATGTCCTTTTTGGGGTTCAACTATGCTTACTTATATTTGTAAGTAGGAAAATAATTTGAAGATGCTTATGCAATGTACCAGGATGAGGGACTGAACTTCAGAAATAGGCAATATATTCAAACCCCTTCAATATATATTACTAAATATGCATTATTTTATAATATTTTATGTCTAAAAAGGATTTTAATGCATGAAAACTAAGGTTATCTTAGAAAAATGAATTCAAAATCAGGAGGTATGGATTTGTTTCCCTAATTTTTCTTATCCTTGCTAGGGATTCCAACTTCCTATCATATCTACTTGGAGAAAAACAATTTTGGCAGATGGCACTCTTTTGAACATGCCAAAATCCTTTCTCCTACATAACATCTTAAAGGAATTCTATGCTAAAGAACATAGAGAGTTTATACTGAACAAATACTTCCTCCTAGAATTCAATATGGAATTATTTCCTCTGCAAATTGGAAGATTATTTGCTTAATTTTTAAAAAATGTATTTTTCTGAAAGTACAATGTTAAAATACAGGTCATATCCAAATGGAGGGTAAGACTCATAGAGCCCCTTGGCAGAGTTGTGAAATATATTCGGTACAACACCTAATTGAACTTTGAGTCTCCTGAATAAAAATTAGAAGTGTCATATTGAAACTGTCAAAATCCAGGTGACCACGAGATGGCAGTAAAGAATCAGAAACAACTTGTGACTCTTTCCTATTATTTAGTAGTTTTATGGATTTCTGCAGCCCAGGTATGGTAGCCCTAATAAAAGCATCAATTTCCACAAATCCCTTAGAAAGAAAAGAACATCCAAAATAAGATGCCATAAGGAAGATTTTGAATCATTGGCTTTCATAAATGTTTCAGCTCTATGCAACTATGCTTTAGGACTGCCTGCCTCATGGTGCTTGTCCTAATTTAGTGCAGGTCATTAGTTGCAGAACTCAGGCTAGCTACATCAACACTGCTGTACAAGGTTGGCTTTATCAACATCAAAGAAAAGCAGAAAGAAGAAAGGAAATATGTCTCCTGCTCTGCAACAGCTGGGGAAGCATGAGGAAATATTTCAGAGTTAGTTCTCTCCTCCCCTACCTCCCCCCCCCTCTCTTTTTCCTTCTTTTCTACAGTTGGCTAAGGCACACTGTTCCCTTCCGGCCTTGTAACTGTTGGCAGCCATTTTAAAACTTGGCAGCCATTTTAGTGCTGGCGGCTAAGTGTGCTCCCACAATGTCGGCAGCAAGCAACTGACACACGGACAGAGGAGTATGGTTTTACTTAGCCCAGGGATAGATGGAAGATAAATTCTTAAGCACTGTGAATGAGAGATACATGAGGGGCTTGCTTCAGAATTAATATATCACTTTTATTTTTCTTTCTAGTTTAAAAATGCTGCCACAGCTGACAGCCAGCTGAAGGAGACAGATAGAAAAAAAATAGGCGAAGTGCATTTAGAGAACCCTGCTGTATTTGGTCAGATTCATGCGCCATAACTGCTTGCATTAATGCTAAGAAATAATCTAAAAGCGATATCAATAAAGAGCTGCAAATTAAAAGCACACATCAAAGAAATGTGCTGGTCAGTCAGTTATTTCTCTATGAGGCATTTCAAGGCAGGATGGCAAAGGCATTGCTCTTAATGGGAACAGTGAGGAAAAAAAAGTTTTGCATAGGATATGTGGAGGACACAAGGAAGGAACTCTTTCAGATACCAAGGCTTTTCAGGTGATGAACAATATTCAGAGTTAAACTCGGGAACAACCAGTCAGCAGCATATCACATTAAAGGTCAGTTTAATGTGGTCCTAGAGATTACCGAAACAGAGCTGCTCCTGACTATGTTTGTGTTTTAGGAGAGAAATCAGTCACAACAGGGCAACCGTAGCCCTCTCAAGCCTGGTATTAGTCCATGTTCCAGTTATGGACTTGGAGAGCAGTCTCATTTTAATAAACTATCCATCTGACTTGGTTGACTGTCACTCTTCCAATCAACATCTCCGTAGCTAAATGGAATTTTTTGTATTCACCCCAAAAGTCTGGGCTTCACGCAACCCATTGTTGACTCTGCACAGCAAAGGACTAAAAAGGTTTTTTGGCCCATCAGAAAAGTACAAGTCAAATAGAATTGAGCTTCCTATGCATCCTGATGGTTCCAAATTTCAAATCCTCATAGAACAGGGATGTCAAACTCTCATAGTCACAGTGGCGTCATGTGACATATCATGACTTTTTTCCCCTTTGCTGAACTGGACATGGGCGTGGCCAGCACGTGATGCATCCAGCCCACAGGCCATGAGTTTAACAGCTGTGTCATAGAACATCTAGCAGCCTTGTATAAACAATAAAGTACAGTACAAACTAGATCATCAAAAGTGATTAACACTGATGACGTTACCTTCTTTGGGCAAGAAACATTTTCAAGAAAACAACCAAGTTTAGAGAGCATGAAGACCACCTAATGAAGGCAGATTCTTTGAATGGCATTTTTGTGAAGAGCCTATCTATTGAAAATCAGCTTAATTAAAAAAACCTAAGTATATTTAACTAGAATATTTATCCAAATGAAGACTACAAATTAATTGACAGTTATTTAGATCAAACGTGAATGAAAGCAGCAGACTCCATCCAAGCCATTGCTGTGCTGATAAGAAACTACTGTTGAGACAGGCTTTATATCACTTCAAATAAAAAGTGGCCATGCAATACTAAAAAGCACAACTAAGAAGAGATATGACATCAAAATAGTATGTTCAAAGGACTGCAATGTTACATGAATTTACTATTTAATATAAATAAAATAAAATGTTTAGAAGATTGAAGAAATGTCCAGAACCAAAAGAAAAGTTTCCCTTTTGTCAGTACTTTGATGGCAATTAGATAGATTGCTGGAACCTAGGAACAAGTTTCCAAATTAGGGATGGCTCTGTATGAAATCCTTATAATTCTGTAAGAAAAGGGATCCTCAAGCTATGTCTTTTAAAAAGAAATATTAAATTCAGGCAGTAATCTAAAAATAGAATGGAGCAGACTTTTCAAAAATACCCCTGGGTATTTTTAAAGTAATACTGTGACTATGAGGTAGCATTTCTGGGTAAAGTAACTAACTCAGGTTTAATATATACTATATAGAATAAAGACTGGGGGTTAAAATAAGCTGAAATGAAAGTGACAGATTCATCTATAGCAGGGGTGGGATTCAAAATTTTTAACAACCGGTTCTGTGGGCATGGCTTAGGTAGTGGGCGTGGCTTGGTGGTCATGTGACTGGGTGGACATGGCTTGGTGGTCATGTTATTGGCTGGGCGTGGCCAACTCAATATCACTCACATCGAGGCACACATCTCCTTGCTTGGCTTCTCATGACTGTGGGGATGCTGCAACAGTCATAAGTGTGAAAAATGGTCATAAGTCACTTTTTTCAGTGCCATTGGAACTTTAAATGGTCACTCCACACAAGCAAAGTACCAGCAAAGGAGGGGAAAAAAACTCCAGAGATGTTCCTGAGACAGGAAGTCTAGTCCTGCCAAGAACGTAATAAGGGTTAACAGAGAGGCAGTTTCTGTAAGCAACACCAGAATGTTTCCTTCCTGCCTTCCTTACAGGATTAGGCCAGTAATTTCTTCTAACAACCGGTTCTCCGAACTGCTTAGAATGTTAACAACCAGTTCTAGCGAATAGGTGCGAACTGGTAGAATTCCACCCCTGATCTATAGTAGGAGAGAGTGAGTTTTTTAAAATATATATAAAAATGGTTATAAAATATATTGTTTGTTCTTCTTCCAATATACCATATGGGTTGGAAATGGATACCTCAGACCAGCTATATCAGTTGAGAAATATAGTTTGACAAAGAAGCTTAACAATATTATATTCCAATTCAGGGTTTCTCATCAAGAGGGAACTGAAAATCACTTGCCACTTCTTTGGTCAAAATCTCCATAAAGTTAAATTTAGTCCCGAAATGCCCACAGGGACTGTATTAGGATCACTGTCTTGGAATGACCAGACAAACTATTCTTTTTCAGGTACAAAATACACTATCAACATCATCATAACACCCAGAGTCCCTATAACCTTTGTGGGTTTCTATAATTCAAAGTCTTCCATCGGCACTACACTTTGCCCCCAATCTGACATGAAAGAAGACAAATCCCTTTGCCTTTATTGGTTTGTCTGGCAATTGGGTAGGTGTTTTTGCATGGACTTGTGTGCATGCACATGTATATGTATGTACATGCCATGACTTCCTCAAACTGCTTAAGAGACTTTTCCTCAAAAGCTGTGATCTCCTAGCCTCAGAGGTGCTTTTATTTAACAAAATAAACCCTTATCAGGAGGCAGCAGCTGAACAAACAAACAAGCCCATTGCCCCTGCAGAAGAAACACTTTGCTGAGCTCTTTATCTATCCCTCACAGACCTGGTAAATCTCCTCTGCCCAAGCAATAGGCAGGGAAGGAGAAAGGGGCAATCTCACCCAGTCCACAGGCAATTGCCCCTTCTTTAATATCATTACAGAAAGATATAGAAAAGTGGTCATGGTTGCCATTTTAGGCAAAGGGACTCATCCAGGGACTCTTTGTTTAAACCTAAAAAGTACACACATACACTGTATTGTGCTTCATGTTTGATTTTCAACAAGATGCACTTCCAAAAACTGAAGAAAAATAGTTAACTGAGACTGAAGAGACTACTAAAAGAGACTGAAGTCAATGCCTAAGAATCAGCCTAGAAACTGTCTTCAAGCTATTGTAGAACTACATCCATGAATTTCAGGCTTGGTTTGATTCATGACTATTGGCTAATCAATATCCCTTTGTAGTAAAATAGAGAAAAGAAAAAAGGAAGGAAGGAAGGAAGGAAGGAAGGAAGGAAGGAAGGAAGGAAGGAAGGAAGGAAGGAAGGAAGG